GGTCCACATACTGCTGAAGCCTACCTTGTATGATTTTGAGCATAACCTTGCTGGCGTGTGAGATGAGTGCAATTGTCCGGTAGTTGGAGCATTCTTTGGCACTGCCCTTCTTTGGTATTGGGATGTAGACTGATCTTTTCCAGTCCTCTGGCGGCTGTTGAGTTTTCCAAACTTGTTGGCATATTGAATGTAGCACCTTAACAGCATCATCCTTTAAGATTTTAAATAGTTCGACTGGAATGCCATCACCTCCACTGGCCTTGTTGTTAGCCAGGCTTTCTAAGGCCCACTTGACCTCACTCTCCAGGATGTCTGGCTCTAGGTCAGCAACTATATTGTCTGGGTTGTCCGGGATATCCAAAACTTTCTGATATAATTCCTCTGTGTATTCTTGCCACCTCTTCTTGATGTCTTCTGCTTCTGTGAGGTCCCTTCCATTTTTGTCTTTTATCATGTCCATCTTTGCACAAATTTTTCCTCCACTATGACCTGTCCGTCTTGGGTGGCCCTGCACGGCATAGCCCATAGCTTCTCTGAGTTACTCAAGCCCCCTCGCCACGACAAGGCAGCAATCCATGAAGGGGTCACTTTGGAGTAGACCCATTTAATCAGTCAACTCTTCTGTAAGTTATTTCCATTCCACAAATTTTTTTAACTGAAAAACTGCAGAATCCTAATAAAAATGAACTAAAATGGAATTCTTTCCCACTCGAAACCAGAAGGAAACTGTGGGAATACACTCTTTATTAAATGTATTATTTTCCCTGCTATTTGGACTTCTCGTTTCTTCTGTTCTAGCATTTTTATCCTGTAGGGACTTACTAAAGCCTTTGAGAATACTTACTAAATTGTTCAATCTTTTCATATATTTATTTTTTGCACAATATTTAGCTTGTTTGTTTTAATTTAAATTGTTGTAGTGATGGTTGTGAGTCATTGTGGTGTAATGGATAGAGTGACAGACTAGGATTCAGTAGACTTGGGTTTAAATCCTTGCTTGGCCATAGAAACTCACAGGCGGAAGGGCATGGTGTCTGGATATAATGGGAGTTAGAGTACAACACATATGGCCAAATTGGGTAAATCCAGTTTATACCTTTCTTTAAGACATCTTAAAGGTACAGTCTGTAATTAAAGCTGCATTCTTGTGTATTTATTTATTTTCAAACTTCCTTTTAAAGCTCCCAAACTTCTTTTCTCTAGGTAAAGCTGGTTAGCATTGATGCAGCTGAAATAGCAGATGGAAACTCTTCTATGATACTGGGCCTGATATGGAACATAATCCTGTTTTTTCAGGTATAAACAAAAACATTGCTGTAATTGCTTCTTATGTATTCCATCAGAATTTTTCAGTTTTAGTGTATTATAGTTTTGTCAAATATATGCAGCTCTTTTATTTTCCCAAATTAACAGCACTGCATAATCTGGACAAATAGTATACAGCGGTGCCTCGCTTTACGATCGCTCCGTTTAACAACGAAACCACATTACGGTGAACTTTTTGAGATCACTATTGCGATCACTTTACAATGTTTCCTATGGGGGATTTTCGCTTTGCTATGATCGGTTCCCTGCTTCGGGAACCGATTCTTCGCAAAACAATGATTTTCGGACAGCTGATTGGCGGTTTCAAAATGGCCACCAGGTAAACAAAATGGCCCCCCGCTGTTTTCTGGGATGGATTCTTCGCTGCACAGGCAGCGAAAATGGCCGCCCTATGGAGGATCTTCGCTGGACGGTGAGTTTCCAGCCCATCAGAACGCATTAAACGGGTTTTGATGCGTTTCTATGGGCTTTTTAATATCGCTTTACGACGTTTTCGTTCTACAGCGATTTCGCTGGAACGAATTCACATCGCCATGCGAGGCACCACTGTACCTGATCCTTGTTACACTTTTCTTTCTTCCCCTCTTCGTAGTCTGCTACTCTCCATTGCTCTCAGATGACTTGAGTCCAGCCTAGCTTGTGTTCACTTGGCTTATGTTCAAATCCAAGATCACAAGATCTTGCTTTCCATTTCTTAAGCACATGCTGAAATTGTATGAACGCTGCTCTGTACATTTAACAGCTCAGATCTTGAGATCTGTGTCCTTAACAAGTCCTGACAGCCATGCCCTTAGACAAGTGTCGCTTTCATGACCCAGGCTTGAAACTGAGCCTTAAAATGACAAGAACTGAATGAAATCAGCAAATGTTTTGACATGCCCCTAAAGCACTGTAGGTACAAATGAAATCCACCCAGTTCTCCCAATGGTTCAGATACTAAGAGAGTGATATTGGGCTAGAGTGCTTATCTAACCAACCACTCTCTTCCCTGTGCAGATTTTGCCAGCTGCTCCACAGCCAGTCTTAAGTTGTGGTTTAGAATTCCATTTTTTACTTCTTGGGACATGGGGGATGTTTCCAGGCAGGATTTGAAAGCTGGGTTTCAAAACCTTTGGTTATAGCAGAACTGGGTCCCCCACCCCTTTTTTAAAATTATCTGCATGGTGTAGAACATCTCATGAGTAACTTGCATTGATCTTCACTGTGGATTTGATCCTTTTCTGGGGGGGGGGAAGCAATGCAGTTGCTCTTAGCTCCCTGTGATGCACTTTTTGAGGGTTGGGGAATTTGCTAAACAGAATGGACAAGGGCAGAGGGGGCTGCAGTACAAGTGGGACTGCAAAAATCAGGTCCCCCCCCCCACTTACATAAACTCTTTGCTTTAAAGGCATCATATACTCCTATATCTTCACTAATTTATTTATGTGTTTCTTCAATTCTTATACTGCCCAATTAGTGCAAAGCACTACTCTGGGTGGTTAACAATCAACGAATCCAACAATAAAACAGTAGTACCCTAACAAATGAAAGTCAAATCAGCTGAAACAATACAAGACGGGCACCAAGGGAACAAAATCTTTGCATTTGCTAGACTTTTTAGATATCAACTTGCAGAATGATACAGATCGTATATTCGCCTAGGCAACTGGAATTTGGCCTCCCTCAAATTCTGTATTTGGTGTACAGTGGAACCTCTGCTTACTTATCTTCTGTCAAATAAACAAAATCAAACTTGAATGGCCTATATTTTCTTCTTCAGTGAGGCACTGATCCAGATTGTACATTAAATCTAGTGAACACAGCAGTGCATCTTCCATTCAAGAGCCTTCTGAGACTGTGCCTCTTATGTAAGACCAACATAAGTATAACAAACAACCACATAGTCCCCATGGTGCGGTGGTTAAACTGCAGTGCTGCAGTCAAGCTTCTGTTCATGACCTGAGTTTGATCTTGGCTGATTCAGGTAGCTGGATCAAGGTTGACTCAGCCTTCCATCCTACTGAGATCAGTAAATGGAATACCCCACTTACTGGAAGGCAAGTTGTTACTTGCATAATTATGTTGTAAACCAATCACAGAGCGCTCTAGCACTGTGAGGCAGCATATAAGTCAAAACAACAACATATTCACCAACCGTGAGATAGTTTTGTTTTAGTAAATAGCAGCAGAGAAGCTAAGGGGATTCCAGATTGGGATGGCAGCTTCATGGAAAAATAAATTTACTCTTTGCCCTGAATGTGGTCCCAGCCTGAACCTCTCCAGGTGCTATTTGCTCAATGAAAAAAAAATCTGTGCCACTGCTAGTTGGTTAATTGTCAACGCATTTAAATTGCCCCATAATCTTCCTTCAAATGTGAACTGCATTTTCAGAAGGCATCATAGAAGTCTGCAAGCCAGAAAATGCAAAAGGACAGCCTACCCAAATTTAGGTTTGGGAGCAGATCTCAAAAAAGTTACTTTTTTTAAACTATAAGTCCTGATGACCATGTTGGCCAAGGGATCCTGGAAGAGGTGGTCCAAAAAAGTAACATTTCAAGATGTGGTTGGCAGTCAAATCTGTGATCCTCCTGCGTGTTTCCGATCTCCTAACCATGACTAGGAGGTCAAGGTATTTAACCTGCACTGCTCCCAAGTGTCCTCTAATGTTGGAAACAGATTCCTATCATAGGTTCAATTTCTGCTTGGGCCCCAGACTGTGCCTCCTTCTGGCCATCTGTATCTCTTCCAAGCATTCTTAGGGTTTTCTGTCTGCCGCTTTATACCTGTCCATAGAGTGTTTCTCTGCTATGTTCCAGATGTCTGTTCTCTCTATAGTCTATGAGGAAATTAGTGTTATACAAAACTCTAACCTGAGTCCTTTGGGGTCCTGTTTTAATGAACTTCCAGGGGGGTAGCTGTGTTCTTCTGCTCCAACAAATACCACCCAGGTTGGGATCCTACAGTTCTCCTGAGCAGAAATCAGCTTATAGGCTGCTGCTGGAGGAAAGAGGGAAGGTGATTTTTACTGATTCCTTCTTCTCCCCAAATCTTGCTGTTGCTCCACTGTAGAGAATCTTTAAAGTACAGTGGTGCCCTGCTTAATGATTACCCCGCTCCACGATGAAATCGCTTCATGATGATGTTTTTGCGATTGCTTTTGCAATCGCAAAATGATGTTTAAATAGGAAAAAACGCTTTACGACGATCGGTTCCCTGCTTCGGGAACCGATTTTTCGCTTAACGACCATCAGAAAACAGCTGATTCAAAATGGTTTCAAAATGGCTCCCTGCTGTGCAAAATGGCTCTCTGCTGTATTAAGGACGGATTCCTCGCATTACAGGCATCAGAAAATAGCTGCCCTGTGGAGGATCTTCGCTGGACGGTGAGGTATTTCGCCCATTAGAACGATTAACTGGTTTTTAATGCATTCTCATGGGTTTTTTAGATGCATTCTAATGGGTTTTTTTACTTTTGCCTGACAATTATTTCATTGTACAGTGATTTTGCTGGAACAGATTATCGTCGTCATGCGAGGCACCACTGTATAGGAGATAACATGAAAAGGACCTTCAGGAGACAGATTATTGTCGTCAAGCGAGGCACCACTGTATAGGACATAGCATGAAAAGGACCTTCAGGAAGACTTGCCAAAAACCACTTTCCCATCACTCAGCAGGAGCCAGTATGCTGTGGTAGTGAACCACTTTCTTGTAGGTACTCTCAGAGGGCATGAAATTAGCCCTGAATGAACTCTGTGTTTAACACAGAGCTATCCATTGACTGAGCGTCGTCAAGCGAGGCACCACTGTATAGGACATAGCATGAAAAGGACCTTCAGGAAGACTTGCCAAAAACCACTTTCCCATCACTCAGCAGGAGCCAGTATGCTGTGGTAGTGAACCACTTTCTTGTAGGTACTCTCAGAGGGCATGAAATTAGCCCTGAATGAACTCTGTGTTTAACACAGAGCTATCCATTGACTGAGCTTTTGTGATGTAGGAGAGCATCCGCTTGCCTGAAGGGCAAGTTGCTTGTCCTGTAGGCAGTGTGTGCGGGATGATGGATTCTCTGTTCTTTGCTCCTGGCTCTGACTGTCTGTCTTTTTGTGTCAGATTAAGGAACTTACTGGCAACCTCAATAGGAACTCCTCCTCTTCCAGCCTGTCATCAGGGCCCAGTGGCCCCGATTCGGACACCTCTTATCCCAGCACGCCTAATGTCGAAAGAAGCATGTCTGTTTCTGTGAAGGATCAACGAAAAGCCATCAAGGCCCTTTTAACCTGGGTTCAAAGGAAAACGAGGAAGTAAGTTGTTTTCCTCTACTCTTCTTGAGTCATAGAGGCGTTGTGATCATTTGGAATGGTAAACCGTGTTGCTGGTCAGGCATGGTGGGGTGGGGGGTCTCTTTGTGTTATGTGCAAAGAAATGCAGAGAGGGATCTAGTGCAAGTAACAGGACAAGCTGCCTGCTATCATCCAGAACACTGGACTTCATGGCCGGCCGGCCTCTTTTCTTCTTCTTATATGAACTTGTTCTAGGAGAAATTGAAAACTTGGAAAATGACTGGTTTTGTACTACAACTCCCAGAATTTCCCAGTTACTGCCATACTCATAGGGAGATTTCTAGGAGCTATAGTAAAAAATGTAACTTTTCAAGCTCTGAATTTTCTCTGTAATATACTTTTCTCTGTGCACACTTTCCTGGGAATGTAGTGAGATGATGTACATATTGCTAGAAAAGAACAGGGTTGCCAGTTATTTGTTGTTTCTGTTCTTGACAGAGATGCATAATTTGCCCATCACAAAACTGATGAGTCTTTTCCACCACCCTATGTCTCCTTCCCATTAAGCAAAATTAAATTACATTAAAAGCCCAAGCTGTGTTCTGATTCCCTCTGGGAGTTCCTCTCAGTTGAAGACTCTTTTTTTGCATTCACGTATACATCTCGCAACACAGAGGCAAAGGGTTGTAACAGTTATATTTTAAAAGGAAATTGTTGCATTGCACGTTACTGGTACTAACCTGATGAAGTGGTACAGTCGTGCCCCACTTAACGATTACCCTGTATAACGAAGAATCCGCTTCACGAAAATGTTTTTGTGATCATAATTGCAATCGCAAACTGATGTTTTAAATGGGGTTTTTTCGCTTTGCGAAGATCGGTTCCCGATTCTTCGCATTACGATGATCAAAACAGCTGATTGTCTGGTTTTCAAAATGGCCGCCGGGTGCTCAAAATGGCTCCCCGCGGTGTTTTTGGATGGATTCCTTGCTCTACAGGCACCGAAAATGGCCACCCCTATGGAGGATCTTCGCTGGACGGTGAGTTATTCATCCCATTGGAACGCATTGAACAGTTTTCAGTGTGTTTCAGTGGGCTTTTTAATTTCGCTTTACGATGTTTTTGCTCTACAGCGATTTCGCTGGAACGAATTAACGTCGTTAAGCGAGGCAGCACTGTATTTGAATCCACGAAAGCTCATGAATTGTATGATGACTTTTAGTGATCCATGAAGGTATTGTCTATTTTTTGCATTTGTATTTTATTTTAGTTGGATCACTCAGCTAACCCAGACTTTATTTTTTCTTGGTCGCTCCAGCTACAAGAGTAATTTGTTGAGTTGTATATCTAATTCTCTCTTTGTGTTATGAAAATACAAAGGGAAAAACTAAAGTACCCTGGAACTGTGTAGCTTGCTGAAGGCTACACAGCTTAATTTTTCTCCCTAGAGACCTACTAAGAATTCAGACTCCCAACTTCTGGCTCTCCAGCCAGATACCTAATTCACTAAGTGTAAAATCAGAAAAACACCTGCAGAAATGCTTTCAAAAACACATTTAAATGCCCTTGTAAAGTGACTTTCGAAAGCAGCTAGGTTTTGCTTCTCACGCCTAAAAAGTAACTTTTGGAATTATATCATGGCTTACTTTGAAAGAAACTAGCTAGTGTAACCAAATTACTTGTAACCAATTACTTCTGAGCTGCGTACAAAGGTCATTCTTTGTTGCAAACAAGGCTGATTCGAGACATTTTTGTTGCCTTGTTTCTCCATTCTGTATACAAAGGCAAACTAGGCTAACAATAAGACATCTACTGTTGAAGACGGCAAGTTTGTGCTGGAGGTACAAGAAAGGCTGTGTTTATCACACAGCACTGTTCTCCATCATTTTGCTGCCAATCCCTAAGGCTCGCCCACTGCTGCCTGAGCCGACCACCTCACCCTGCTTGATACCAGCCCTGGTTATTCTGGAGTGAGCAGCAGCAGCCTTCCCAGTTGAGATGTAACTCTGTTGAAGGATATAAATAGCAGCCGGAAAAGATGAGCAAGGCACAAAGGATGATAGAAAAGCACCCGGAAAGGGAAGGAGACTTTGCTGGAGTGTGTGTGTAAGATTTATTTTGCAGCATTATAGAATTGTGCAGATGTGATCCTGTAACTGCTTATGCTTTAGTTTATTAAGATATTTACATAGAGCATGACTTATGGTAATTATGGCCCATTTCATGCAGGCTTCCACAATTTTTAAATGTCCAAAAATTGTAACTACCAAAACTTATTATGTTGTTTTTGGAATATAAGCCAGATGATGTTTCTGGATGGAAAACTGCATGGCCGACTTTCTACCTTTAATCGTCTCTTTAAGAATCCAGAGCGACTTGTTAGGAAGGAATGCTTAAAGGCCATTGACCTCAACACACAGTCCCCATAACAATACTATGTACATTATATATACACTATATATACTCCATAGTTGCAGCACAGTGCTACCAAAGGTGCAGGGTCAGTCCTGCAATTAGGCAGATATACAGTGCTACCAAAGGTACAGGGTCAGTCCTGCAATTAGGCAAAGTGAGGCAGCCATACAGGATATCATGAAAAGGCAAGAAATTGGTTTTTTTACGATGTACAGTGGTGCCCCGCTTGATGATTACCTCATTAGATGAGGAAATTGCTTAACGATGAAGTTTTTGCGATCGCTTTTGCGATCACAAAACGATGTTTTGATAGGGAAAATTGTTTCACGATGATCAGTTCCCTGCTTCGGGAACCGATTTTTCACTTAACAACGATGAAAACAGCTGATTGTCAGGGTTTCAAAATGGCCACCCACTGTGTAAAATGGCTCCCCGCTGTGCTTTAGGATGGATTCCTCGCTTTATAGGCAACGGAAAATGGCCGCCCTATGGAGGATCTTCGCTGGACGCTGAGGTATATCGCCCACTGGAACGCATTGAACTGGTTTTCAATGCATTTCAATGGGATTTTTACTTTCACTTGACGACGATTTCGTTCTACAGCGATTTTGCTGGAACAGATTATCCTCGTCAAGCGAGGCACCACTGTACCTCGACTCAGATGAGTGTGCAAGCACCATTTTATTTGCCTGTTCCTCCAAACATGCCCAAACATAGGACTGCCGTGTTGTTCTTCGGGAAGCCTCTCTTAAGTGTGTATCCATTGTTGTTGCTTAGTCGTTTAGTCGTGTCCGACTCTTCGTGATCCCGTGGACCAGAGCATGCCAGGCCCTCCTGACTTCCACTGCCTCCCTTAAATCTCATGCTATTGATGTTAACTTCTGTTGGTCATTGCTTACGTAGAGAGGCATTTGTCATGCAAATAAGCTTTCTGACCAGTGTACAGTATATTCACCTGAAAGGTTGACAGCAGGAAGATCCATGTATGAAAATGTTGCCACCTTGGTTTGTTAACCAATCTGTATGTAGTGCCTTCCATGAGCAAAGAAGCCTTTCTGTCCATAAAGTAAATCCTGGATCCACCCCTTCATCTGCTGCATTTTCTAAATTTAGGAAGTTATTTTGCTGCAATAGTGTTCCATGTTACAAGGAATGTGTGTCTCTTGATGTTCCATGTGTGATTTTTTTTTTTTTTTACTCCCTGGCTTTAGGTATGGTGTTGCAGTTCAGGACTTTGCCAGCAGTTGGCGAAGTGGTCTTGCATTTTTGGCTGTAATCAAAGCAATCAATTCCAGCTTGGTGGATATGAAGCAAGCTTTGGAGAAGACGCCCCAGGAAAATTTGGAAGATGCATTCAGTATAGCACAAGTCCATCTGGATATTCCAAGGCTCCTGGAGCCAGAAGGTACTCTGGCCATTTGAAAATGTCTTCAACATGCATTTCAGGCTTACAGGTTGTATAGGCTACAGTACAAGCACTGTCTCTGCCGTGTATTGAAATATGACTACCCCGAGTTGATTTATACTGTTATTTCCAGTACAACAGTCAGAGGATACGAAATTATTTGACCCATAAGAGGAATATTTTCATCTCTTTAATGTTGTGACTGACTGTTGCACTGCTCAGGTAGATAAAGTGAAGCTTTAAAAAAAGAGACTCAGATAAATTATTATGAAATTGATAAGCAAATATACTTCTCTGTTTACCATGGTGTGTATAAAAGTATCCCTCTGACAAATGTCTTCTCATTTATTTTTGGAAGTCATGGTTTGTGAATTCTCCTCTTGTTAAAAAAATTCTCCTCTTGTAAAAAAATCAAATAAGTATGAGTAAGAGTGTCTGTGTAGATATAAATATACACATATGCAATGCTGTAATATAGCTTAGTCCCTTGTGTATTTTCTGTGTCACATGCCCCATGTTCATATATGTGTGTGTGCTCAGCCTGAAATGCATTTTAGAAAGAGTAAATATATGTGTGTAAACATTGTGTGCTGCAGTATACATGTTGTTGTTGTTGTTGCCTAAGGGTGTCTCCTGCATATGTCGAGCAAAGTGCTGCTAGCTGGTGTAAACTGGATCTGACTGTTGAACTGAGTGAAGTCTGACTGACTTTCAGTTAATTGGAAGCCTCCTGTTCCCCCGTTTCAGGTTCCGAGGCTCTCAACGGTTCCTGGGGAAGCCTTAGGAGCCTTGGGACAGTGGTGGGGAATCTTTAATAGTTAAAAATGTCCAGATCACTGGCACACCAACAACAATCTGGTGGAAAAATCTGACAAATAAAGGCTCCCCTCCCTGTCTCAGGGCCCCCAAAGGTTTCCCCAGGACAAAAGGGACCCTTAGGTAGTCTCTGAACCTGAATCAGAGGAAAAGAACAGTTTTCAGTTAATTATTTCTGGCACCTGGATCCAGTTTCCACTGACATAAGTACGCCAACAGGGTTTTGCTATTGAGTTATATACAGCAGTGCCCTTCCATGGTAGGAGTGCTTCCATTCTTGGA